AAAAAAAAGCCATTTTTTTCTTTCTAAATACTTATTGATTTAGACTAAAAAAAAATTAACCCGGAAAAATAAAAATTGAAAAAAAAAAAAAAGAAGCAAAGAAAAAAATGTCATTTTAAGCTGAAAATTTTTTTGGTTGCTTAGTGCTGTTTATCGATCTCTGATATTTTGAAACTTTCTATCATAATGGAGGCTCTGTTATCATTTAGCAGACTAAAGCCTTTGCTTTTCTTTTTTGGAAAGAAAAAAAAATTTTTTTGTTATATATGGTTTAAAGGATTTTAAAAAACAAAAATTGCTGTTTAAAGAAACAGATGAAAAAGAAATGTGAAGATAATTGTTATAAGAAAAAAAAATTTATTGACAAAAGTATATTACTTCCGGCTTTTCGTTACTTTATTTTCTGTATTAATTGAAGCAAACAAAATAGTGGCACAGCAACGACAACAGTCAATTACATCCATACGAAAAAAAAAATCTGACTGATAAATAGAATAAATCTGAAGAGCAAAATTTTCTAGGTTTTTTTTTTTTTTTAAATTTAATTTAAAGAAGTTGATTAACAACTAAATTTTTGGCATCTATAAATTTTTTTTCAGTTCAACTATCACAAATTTGCTTGTTGAATGTACACCTATTTTAGGCTATCTATTTCAACTTCATTACACTGACATCGACTGGATTTGGCGATATTGTGCCTAGAAAGTTACTACTTAAAATTTTCACTTTTTATCATTTTTTTAAACACATTTTAATCAATTCTGCAGTTATTCTTTTGTAGATGAGTTTCTGTTTTTGTTGTTGCTATTACTCTGAGAGTAAAGCTAGTGTTAATGGCAGTTAAGAAGAAACAGAAGCAAAATCTGAATCAGACTACGACTGTTTGATAACTGTTATGATGACAGAAATGCTGAAAGAACATTACGGTTTAATCAAATATTCTTGTATCTTTTTGCTTTTTTACAAAAATCTAAATAAATTATACAATTTTAATTGTTTTTTTTTGTTTAAATTGCTAGCTATCTTTAGGCTCAAAAAGTTGTCGAAACTAAGAGTAAAAGCTATAAGACAAGTATGATTTATATGTTTGACTGCTATTAACAGAATACATTATAGAAATTGTGGGTTTGAAACACGACCAATATAAATAGCGTTAGTATTAGAAAATAATAACATAATCAGACTTTCTTTCCACTTATCGTAAAACAATTCCTCAGCTGAAAGAATTTGACTAACTGTGTCAAATTGTATGTTTTATTGTTTTGAAACTATTGAAACAAAAACAGAAAAAAGTAGAAACAGTAAAGTTAGTTCAAATTTATTGTCAAAAAAAAAATTGAAATTATAAAAAACTTTAATAAAATTAAATCTGTTTAAAATTTTTCTTTCAATTTTCAGTGAAAACTATATGGCATGTACAATACTGTACATAACATTTGGCCTTGCTCTAACAACAAATGCCATCGAAATTGCTGCCGATACGTTGAAGAAATTACACTATTATGGAAGAAAAATCGAAAATGTAGCAAGTGTTAGCATTTGGTTTGGTTCAAAAAAGTAATAATTTTACACTAAAATTTAACAAAACAAAAAACTTGACGTTATTTTTTTTCTGGAAACAACGAAAAAAGTATTTGTTCTTATATTTTTGCAGGCTTACGGTACGTCAGCTGATACGCAATTTGGGTGATCATTTCAATCTGCCGGTTACCACTGTATTGAGTTTGAACATCGACGATTTTATTGATAAAGCAATTAAAGTTGAAGCTGGTGAAATCCCATCTTTACGAGTAAGAAACTGTTGTACAGTGTTCTATGTTTATTGAGTGTAAAGTAGGGAATAAAAAATGCGGTACGCTGATAGCCAAAAGTTCATACTTTTGCTGTTCATCTTTCCGTCGTCATAAGTGCTCAAAAACAACAGCACTTTACATAAGTTTTGAAGCTTTTTTCTATAACGCTAAAAAAATTTATTGGCTTCAACATATATAAGATCCAACAACTTTTTTTTTTGGTTTTAGCCAGAACCGCTTACCGATAAGTCATTTGTCCTGGATACAGCAGTCGAATACGCAGATGATTATACAGAAGAAGGCAAGTGATCTTGATAAAGTTTACTTTGTTATTCTGAAGCTTTTATACATCTGTTAACTGCAGTCTTTTGCTTCTTCTAAAATGATCCTTATTGGGTTAGAAATAAAAATTTATTTGGTGTTTATATGTTTAAAAAAGCAGTGGCAGTAAAATTTTTTTGTACAATGATTGCTTATGCCAATTTATTTGCAGTTCAAAATCAATCTAGAAAACAAAAACTTAAGTCTTATAAAGGTCTTAAATTGACTGTCTTTTACTGAAGCTTTGTCGTTTTTTTTAAATTTACGCAAATAGTAACAGTATAATAATTTCTAATAGTACTGTTCTATTGCTAATCATATTCCCTGTACACTTGTCATTTCTCATGATTGTATAAAAAATAAAAAGTTACCGGACCAGTTATATAAAGCAGTCTTTAAGCTTACTCTGTGGTACCATAACAACAAACGGTCTTTTTAAACACAGAATGTCTCAACTGTTTGATTGTCTATCGTAAATATAGATTCTTGATAAAATTGAGAAAAATACAGTGATTACTGGCTTTTTTTTCACTTTTTTGGTTTTCTTTTTTAAAAAACTAGCAATTTTTCAGAGATACTTTGGTTTTAGAGCCCTGGGTAAGCGATCCAACGCCTCCAGACACACCGGAACCAGAATGCTTATCAAATTCTAAATTTGAAAATGATTTCAGTAGAAATTTCAACAGTTCGACTACAGAAATTAATGAAAAACAAGAAGATACGAGATCTGAATTAGAATTTGTTGAAAGTGAAGTTTTTGTGGATATAGTTGAAGAGAATAAAGCAGAGACTACTGGTGCGAACAAACGAGAAACAAACTGCAAATTTGCGATTAACAACAAAGTAGCGATTACGAAAAGTGTTCACAACATTTCAAGGGTGATTTCGAAACCAGGTATAAAACACGAAGACGAAGAACCACAGGAAAATGATGAACCACAAGACGAAGAACCACACGAAGACGAAGAACCAGTGGATCCACTGCAAGAACAGACACCGCCTCAACTGTTTGAACTTCATCTTGTGCCAGTTTCTGAAGAATTAAAGATTGATGAAATCGCTCTGAATACTTCAGAATCACAATGCAGAGTAAATTTTATAATTTTTTGCTTTGAGCAGTCAAATAGATGCAATAAAATTTTTGTCTGTAATTATTTACAAAATTATTTCTTTTGAATAATTAAATAAATCACTGAAAAAATCTGCTTTTAAGTCAAAATTTCAATTTGGCAAGTTTTAAAAAGTGAAAATAAATTGGTGAGAAGTATTGGTCGATTGGTGCTGCTACGAATACTCATTTTTCATATGTTTTAGGTTCTCCCACGAAAGCAAAAAGGTAAGAATTTTTGCTTTAGAACGGTGATTTACAAGAAATAAAAAAGCATGACATCAGTAGCATGGCTTGAAGTGTTAAAAATATTTTTAAAGGCATTAAAACAACATCTATGTCATTACTGCTTAGGTAGAGCTATGCTTTCTAGCAACCGATTAATCTGGTAACCATCAGATGTGTCTTTGCTTTATTGTCCTTAGCTGCTAAGTTGCTTCAACTTTCTTTGCTAAACTTGATAACAAACGCTACTGCTAAAGCTAAAATAAATTATATTTGGTTGTTTAAGTCAAAACGCTAAGTGTGATCAGTTAAAATCATGATTTATAATTCTTTTCGTTCAGCCAACATCGTTATAAAGCCGAGGTTCAAATAACTTAACACTAAGCTCACTGGTGTATAATGGTTCAAATAATTGAAATTACTTAAGTGGCTTTTCTAAAAAAATGAGCTTTTGCTAAAAATTTACCATTTAGTTCAACAATTAGCTGAACTACTATTATTCTAGAGATTAATTTAATTAAAAATTTACACTCAAGCAATTATTGCAAAACCGTTAATTCGTTAAAAAAAAACAAAGCTTTTTTTTATTGGCTGACTATCAAAAAAATCAAAAAGCTTCTGTCCTTTATTTGTTTAACTGATACTTTGTCAGTAGACGACTACCGTGCGAAAAAACAGCTTTACAAAGGTTCAATTTAAATTTGGCAAGCAAGTCAAGTGACGATAGATTGTATTAATAGATTTTACATAGCAACAAAAACCAAATATGAATCTTAGTAAAAAAAAAAATTTATTTTTTTTATATAGCCGTCTCCTTATAGCTGTTCAGTTTTTCTGCATCCTTCAACTTACGTGGTACAATTTTTTACAGACACAACATAAATTATTCAAAACTAGGTAGCAGTCTAGAAAAAATACTTAAAAGATATTATTTTGAGCAAAACTGAAACACAATACTTATTTATCTGTAATATAACTTATCAGAAAGAAATTGCAGTAAAAAATATTTTTTGCTTTAGAACTTTTTTTTTTTTCGTACAACTTTCCTACTTACTTTTAATTTTTACACATCGAAAACAGAGTTTTATAGAATTATCGTGTAATAATAAAAATGTAATATTGCTGTATCTTGATAAATTAAAATTGGTTCTTTTTTTAGTTTACATTAAGTTGGCACAAGCTTTTTAATCTTGCCAAATAAAAGCCAATAAATTACAGATTAACAGGTGCTGCAATGGCCTTCTTACAGAGGCTATCAGCCGGGTTACCATAAACAGCAAATTCGACACTTTAGAAGTTTCATCTGCCTAGTTTTAAGTTGTAAATCTTGAGTATCGACTGATAAATAAAGAGCAATTACTTCTACTATCAGATGTGATAACTCTTGCAGTAGACAGTTTAGTTAAAGTTTATATTGGCGTCATTAAGAGAGTGGTCACAGAGTGTTGATTAAAACAAAGCAGTAATTTAAGCAACGTTTTAGTTTTAAACACGCAAATTTTGCTATTGGTTATTTCTGTTTTTCTTGTTAGAAAACAGATGTTTTCAAGATCTCAGTTTATTTACAGTGCAGTGATTTTTTTATCTTTCTTTACTCTATCAGTTCCCTTAATACCTTTTGCAGAATCAATTCAAGAATTATTTTAGCTGACTTATTACAGCCAAAAATTGAACTTTAATGCAGACCAAAAACAATCCGCTTGGTTCTTCCTATAAAATTGTATATATAAGTAAAGATATATATACCTATATCAAGAGAGCACCATTTTTACTTAGAATAAAATTCTTTAGTTTTTCTTATTATTTTTTGCGCAGCACTGTTTTTGTTCAATTCCTTAACCAAATAAACATCTGATTATAATTATATTAAAAAATGTGAAAAAAAAGAGAACTCTATAAAATTCTTTTTTCGTTGTTACTTTTTGTGCATACCATTCTTTTAATAAGGAAGATTTTTAAAAACAGACACATGGCACTATACATCTGAGTTGTAGTTTACGTTAGAGCTAAAAAAAATAATTATGAGAGAGAGTTGTTTCATTTTCTTTTTTTTTTTTGTTGTTGTTGTTGTTGTTGTCATTTTTGTCTATGAATGACTGATATGTTGAAATATTTATGCCTGTGTTAGGAGATCTTTCAATGAAAAGTTAGACAATCTCAGGATAACTGTTTGAAAGTTATTTGTTGACTTTGTCGCTCAGGAAAACAAACGTAGGAAAGAGTATCTACCTTGTCTTTCCTTACTCTTGCTGTCAGTTCTCAAATGACTAAAAAGTTGCCTTTTTATAAACGAAACAGTACAAAATTATTACAAATGAAAATAAATTGTAAAAAATTTGTTTGTTCATGTGAAAAAGGAAAAAAAAGGAAAGTAATTGGTAACACTAGTGCCAGGCTGTCACTTGATTTCTGAAGTGGTGACAGTGAAAATGCTTTTCAATCAGCACTTATCTTAACTTCAGTTTTTTGTCTGGTCGCCGTCTGGTCAGACGTGTCTGCCTCTAAAACTATTTTCAAGTCTTCTTTCATAAGACTGATAACATAGGATTGAGGAACAGCTCAAAAGCGACTTTGCTCTACAATTCAAAAACCAAAAATTTGTTTCTTTTATGCCCCAATCTAAAAAAAATGAATAATGTTTGTGTTGATTAACAAATATTGATTGTCATTATCATGCGAGGATCTAAACAAAATAAGGGCTTAGATATGAAATACCAGGCACAGCGCATAAGTTTAGACCACTGTCAAGCATTTAGCATTTGATAACACACCTCTGTATTGGTTGTTACTGAATAATCTGTGACAAATAGCTTTCATCTTTACTCTATCAAATGTGGCCAACTGTTGTTTTCTCATTGCATTTTTTACTAAGCGCATATTTATGCAAAAACACTTTTAAAAGAACTTGCAAATACAAAGCATAATTTTATCAGCTAAGAGCTTGTTAGGAACAATGCATGACCTCTGTTCATGTTTATAGAAGACTGAGCCAGATAGCTTCTAATCAGTACTTTATGTGGAATAACTCGTAGAATATGTTCTTATTACCTAAAATTGATTTGCAGTTGAACCTGAAATTATTGCGCCTAAACGTAGAATGTACAGCGAAGAAGCATGGAGACGTTATTTGGAATATCAAAAGGTTAACAACTTTTTTAATACATTTTCACCTTGCTGTCTTACTATTTTTCTGTTACTCTTCGTACTCCTGGATACAACCAAAGTTTTTTGTTTTTAAACTGTTTCTATCGTTTTACTAAGGAAGATTTGTTAAAAAGACACACGGCATTATACATCTAGGCTGTAGTTCACGTTAGAGCTGTTTACTTTAAAGAAAACAAATTGACCAAGTTATTTTTCTAAAATTTATTAGGACAGAAGTCTGTAGGTTTTTGTTAACTACTGTAACTTTGCAACTGGATGGTATCAGTTGTTTGACGACCGAAGATATAGATTACTGCAATGTATTCAGTTTTAGAACCTAAATCAAACATTGATTGTAACAACAGTTACTGTTACTAGTTGTCGTATAAACAGTATTTCGAGTTTATTAAGTCTATTAAATATGGAAATATGAAACTTATCTCTTATGACATATTGACTTCTTTCTTCCTCATTTTTTTTTTCTATTTTCTTACAGGAATGGCAAAAGTTCCGTCAAACAAAACAACCGATCGTCTCTCCTCCGTCAAAAGTGCTAAAAAAAGTCAGCACCCAAACCATATTTATTTTTGAATTTCTTTAATATTAACAAAAAAAATTTTTTTTTTGTTGTTTTACCGTTATTCTGAAGTTTATCGTACTGCATATTTGTTTTTCTTCTCTTTTACTTCAGTTTGCCTTTTGTTATAATTTATTTGATGCAAAAGGAAAAAAAAAATAATACATGGAAAGCAAAACTGAAACACATCAAAATTTGATTTATAAACTATCTGAGCCCAACAGAACAAAGATTTTATGCTGTTGTGATGTGAAAATATATGATGATAAATTTGATTATCGTGCAGAGTCCAACATCTTTCCAGCCATTGGAATCATCGTCAAATATGCACGTCGATCGACGGCGAACTAGCGCTGCTGGGCATGAAGAAGAACATCCAGAGCATTCTTCGGACACCTTTGAACCATCTGAACATTCAGTGTCAAATACAAGGCAAAATAAACTTTAACAAATAAAGCGAACTTTGTAA